CCCCCCCGTTTCTTCCCTCCACCTTCTTACATATCGTATCAAAGACGACTCGAGGGGAAGGAACGAGAAGAAGATCGCCGATCGTTGCCCGTATGCCCCGAACGACCATTTAAAACTCCATTACACCCGTTCGTGATCCTCGGCGCGATCACGGGGTACGTTCCTCACCGTGGAAGACACCTTATGTGAACTGGAAAAGGGTTCGACCGATTACTCAACGTGACACGTTGGTCTCAAAGGCACGAGGGAGGAAGGGAACTATTTTCAACGTCGAGAAACTGACGTCCGTCGAGCCTGCGGGACGCGGGTCCGTGATCCTTGCAATTGTATGCATTATAAGTTTGGACAAATACTCGAATAAGGCACCCCTAGTATATAGAATTCTTGAAAAAATATTCGCGATAAGTTATTATTATTATTATTATTATTATTATATACTTTAAGTTAGAATTGAATAATTATTTGATAATTAATTACCGTTAAAAGACTGTGAAATATTTAATTTCTATATCTTCCAATTTATGCCAGTGACGATGTTTATAATTAAAAATGCGTAAAAAAATAATAAATGCACAATTACACATAAATTCTTTCGTTATGGTATTTTTACAAAATATAATTATGTAATTAAAATATGTCCATGGTTCCATTTAGCGCAAAGGTAAAAAATAAAATATCGCTTACTCATAGCTAGATAGCTAGATATTTTTTCCAGAGAAAAGAAACGCACGATACATACATTAATAAAAATTCCAAACAGCTCCGAGACGGCCTTCAAAAATTAATTCAGCAAATTAATCACACCTCCTGCCTCGCGGTCGCTTTATGAAGACATTCAAGTGGGCACACAAGACGACCAAGTGCGCGAAGTGGTTGAAGTTAATGGGCTACCCCGTATATACATCGTATATCAGTGGCTAGCCTTCGTACACGTTCGCCTTGAGTATCGTCGAGTATCGGCGAAGTATTCTGCATTTGGAAGAGCGCAACGCGACGGCCTGCAGCGCGCCGTTTGCAGCAATCGCGATCCATTCCGAGGTTAACAAGGTTGCGGAAGACGCGGACTTCGGGAGGACTCGAAGGAGAGGCGACTCGGCGACTCCAGAAGATTTTAGTCTTCCGCTTCTGCGCAATCAGCCGAGCCGTTCCATCTCTGTCGGCTTAGCGGCCGACTACCCTAGGTAGGCGTCTTCTTTTTAACGCGTCGAACGTCCGCGTGCGACTCTCAGCAACCCTCTCGCGATTCGCGCACACCCACACGCGTGCGTACGCACTTGCACACGCGTGTGTACGCACCGGGGCGCGTGCTCGCGAGCAAAGAGAAGAAGCACCTGAGAGCATGCGAGATCGTCACGAGGGGATTAAGAGCTTACCAGATTGGTGCAGATTGCCTTAATTTCTCAAGCAGCACCCGAGTGAGACACACGGTCTCGTAACAAAGCGATGGAAAAAATTCCCCGGCGTACGACTTGCTAACGCAATACAAACGTAATGTTCTCTCCCCCCCCCCTCTCTCTCTCTCAATTGAATCGATGACGTTACTTTTTCGATGAGTTCATAGTACAAATTACGTATTACATATATTAATTTAAGTATAATGTTATATCAGGAAATTATATTTATAAAATAGATATTTTTAACTGGTTAATATTTTAATGTAATTATATAATTATATAATTAATTTTAGAAATTATATTAATCATATTACAAAATCATAGTAAAAAAAAAGGTAAAATATATTTGTTATTAGAGAATTACATATTTTATGTCTATTATTATATTATATTAATATTTGTTACGAATAATATGCAAGCTTGTTAAAGCGGAATTCTGAAAGTTTAAATATTTCCATTTGTCTAATAATTACCGATTTGTTTGCACTTCTTTCTAAAACGATCGAACTGCATTTCTATGCAGATATCTTAATTCCATGTCAATCTTAACGCGAGCTTAATTAAATGTAACAAAACTTTTAGGACATTTATCAACTACTCCAACAATATCAGCTTGATAAAATAACATATAAAAATTAAAAACGAATTACAAATTATTACCATTCTTATATAAGAAATAATCAAAATGTATCTTTCATTATAAATTATTTTTTGAGTATGCATATTATACTCAAGATTATGTTAAACCTGTACATGCAACTTGGAGTTAGATTTTTTGTGTAACTTGTATTTAGATTAAACTGTATTTAAAATGCTTTCTATAATAGCATAAGTAAAATAAATAATTGTCGATCTAAGTGTTTTATCAATAACTCGAATGTAAGATGCAGATTTTCATTGAATTAAAGTTTCGTCGAATAATTATGGTGTAACCACGTTGCATCTAGAAAAACCAAATTGGCGTGAGAGAAAAAGCACAAAGAAGAAGCATCGTTTAGTTTGGTGCGGGAAAAATAGCCAGATACACGTGTTCCAGAACAAACGAACACGCGACCGTACATCTTATTCCGGCCATCATTGTTAATATATAACCGTATCTTGTCTGACAAATCACAAATGATCGTTTGCGGGCTTCTGGTTTCTATCTAATTCGCCGCATATGCATAGAAAACAACATTTTGTGGCGACCTGTGCACCTGCAATTTCGTCGGTCATCAGTCGCAACATTACGAATGTAACGACGATCTTTTGTGATGCGCATCTATTATTACGCCTTGAAAACCGCTCCGTGATATTGAATATTATTTTCCTTTACGATAGAAGTATTATTTCAATCGCAATTACGATAGCGTATCTGTATTTTAAATAAATTTTAAATATTTAAAATAAATTTTGAAAGATAAGGAGAGAAAAATTTGAGAAATATGTCTATTTAAATTAAATAAATATGTTATATATGTCATATATAATATGTTATGAAGTAATTTTAGACGTTATCTAACTTGGTAATCATTAACAGATAAATTCTAACAGATAAATCTAACAGATAAATCTAACAGATAAATTAGAAATAAATAGATAAATAATAATTACATTTTTATTATATTTTTACTATTCTTCGGTATGAATGGTTTAAGAAAAAACAAATAGAAAAAATAAATCTTAATTCAACCACTTTTAAAATATATATATATATATATAATTCGCGATGATATTTCATTAATTATTAAAGAAATTAAAATATTGCATTGCAAAACAATCTATAATAAAAAATAAAAATTAATCACATACTTTCTATGTAATTTCATAAAAATCTGTGACAATAGATTATACATATATAATCGGTTAACAATGTGAAACCAAGCGTAAAACTCGTACTCAACTCGCACGAGGACGTTCAATTGAATGAATACCAAGGTATGTCTGAGAATCAGTCATCGACATTAACTTTACGAGCGAACGCACAACTTTACGTGCAAACACTCGGCTTCGCCCCCATTAGCACGGACATCGGACGCGTGAATTATGTATGCGTTTCGAACTGTGATGCTTTGTGGAGTCTTTCAAAGCTAATCCTATAGTCCGTTTATACATCACTTTGACTAACTCCCTGAGCGTGCGGAAAATGTTTGCCAATTAAATTGTGAAAATGTTGATCATATTGAGAGAATCAACTTTAAATTTTTTGCAAGCTTACACGATTTCACACTAAAATTCTATCGTACTAAAATTTTATCTTTTCAAAATAATTTTTGGCACGTACGTACGTACGTGATTATATAATGTTTTAATAAAAAAAATTTATTCTTACATGTATTTTGCCTGTTTTTAATTTTGTCGTGATTTCCTATTTACTCATTATTCCCTATTACTTAATTGCGTTAGAATGAATATGCAACATCATCGTACCTTACTCAATTTAATTAAACTTCTATTTCTGTCTATTATACATGAGCAAACCTCGCTGTAATGCTCATTAGTTTTTAACACAACGGGTCTTTCAAATGTAAATATCTTTCTTTAATATCTCAACGCTTTATATTTATATGAGATGTTATAATATTCTTTTCCATTATTTAAAATCTTTTTCTGAATATATCAATTTGGCATTTTCAAACGCACCGCTATCCCTATACATACAACAAATTGTTATGGCAGTACTTCAAAACGAGAACGGCTTGTATCATTTCGCGATTCAGAGATAAGAAGGATCGAATATCAAGAATATACGTGCATGTAGCATTAATCTTCCTTTCGAATCGCAGAATAACATCGGTCGTTCTCGTTCCGTATCGATTTAACGGACTCGCACCGACCTCTTTCCGTTCCGACGCCGTCTCTTGGTGGCGTAGACGGTCCCCAGCTGGCTCATGGCGACGGGGTTGTTGGGGCCCGACGCCGACGTCGGGGTCGGCACCGGCGCCGAGGTGGGCGTCATTGCGGGATCAACGACGTGGGGCTGAGGGTGAGTGGCGGTCAAAGCGAGCTGCGATCCCGGGGGATAGCATGCCGCCGTCACGTAATCCGTCGGCGCGAGGGACGCGGTCGGCGGTCCACAGATCCCGGCGATCCCCGGTGCACCACCGCCCCCGTTGCCGCTTCCGCCGCCGCCGCCGCCACCGCCGCCGCCGCCACCGCCGCCGCCGACGCCGCCGCCGCCACCACCGACACCGACACCGACACCCCCGACCACCCCCAGCCCCGCCGAGGCGGCTCTGTCCAGCGCGTACACCGTGCAGACCGTGACGCCCCTTGCCTCTAGCGACGACGCTACGTCATCCTCTGTCACCGTCGGTGCCACTGCCACCAGCTGCTGGCGTCGGGGCACTTGCTCCTGATGACACCACCGTACGCGCGCGGCCGATTACGACGCGGCAGCTGCGGCAGCTGTTGCCGCCGCGAATTCGCCCTACCCAGCGAACTCGAGGGACTTGGTATCCCCTGTGAACGCGAAATTCCTTTCCACGAATCGAGATCGGACTTTCTATACGTTATCACTGGTCAACTGACATTTAGCGGCATCGAGATAGAGAATAGCGAATCGCTGCTGAATTGCTAAAACGAGACGAGATCGTTTGGTGAACGATCGATTTCGAAGTTCGAGTGGATAGACGTCCTTCTTTCCTAAATTTCATAGAACATTGCGAGACGAAGCACGTAGCGTCGTGAGGAGATCCTTAGACTCGCCCTGACACGGCCAACGATACATCGCTATCGTTCTCGGCATCGACTTCGCGGTACATTGTGCACGAAATAAGATCATCTTTTCACGTTGCTTTCCTCCACTTAAGGAATAAGTTCACTGTCACTAGAAAATCGCGGCGCGACGTCGACCAGATCGCAATCGCTAGTCATTCACTTTCCCACTTAGTCGAAGTCAACGATATCACTACGATACGCTACGAAGAAGCGAACGTGAACAACGTTCAAGGATCAGCAACCATCGGGATATTTGGACAATGCCATAGGATTGCTACCTTCAGCCTGGGATAGAAATAAGAATCTCGCTCCATCCTCGGCTCCGAATATCACGGATGTTCAAGCATATTAATCCTCACTGTAGATCCATAAATTTCACTCTCACTGTCCCGACAGGCTCTAGCACCATCCCTCTCGATACCCGGTATCACTCGATATTACTGTCATCCGGTTGCGTGACGGTCACGTGACACGATATCTCAGTATATCTGCCCAGAACACTTGAGACATCCAGTTGGCCGGTATAAGACACTTATCACCGAGACTTCCCGATCCGGTCGCGTCACGTGTGCGCGGAAACTGACCCGCACGTCCCTCTCTTGTTGTCTGATCGTCCACTCGTTCCCTCCCTCCTTCGATCAACGTCGCAGAGTCCCTCCCTTCCTGTCTGTCGCGAAAGACAGGAAAGAGAAAGCCTTCTCTTTCCCCTACTCGAGTCGCTGTTACTCCACTACCCTTGCGATCCGTCGGAGTGAGGTGATTGACGTGAACGAACGAACGGGCGGTCCCATCGAAATCGCTGACGATCAATCGGCTTAGAATCTACTTCCACTAATCCTTCCACGCTTGTAGCACCGGTGAACTAAAACCCAGTGGCGAACGCGAGGCCTAATTAGCAGGTTGGTGGAACCCCCGTGTGCTAGCAGGTTTACGGTAGCGAGGCAAGCACGTACGAATGCGGTGCTCGCTTCGTAGAAGCGTGTCGTGTACTGGCGGGCCTGCCGGGCGTAGCATACGTCAGGAGAGCGTGGCATAGATCGGAGAGTGGAGGCGCAAGCCAGTGGTGGTGGGCCCAGCAGAGGAGTAACCCTCCATGGGTCGACCGGGAGACCGGCCACCGGTTTCTATCCACCGTGACGCAGGGTCACCACTCTGACCCCCACCCGCAACACTCGCCACGCCTACGAGAAAGCTGAAGAGACCAATCGCGGTGCCAGCATGGCGCTACCGGCCTAACCACCGCGAAACCACCGATGAAACGATACCATCGCGCGCGCCTCGAGATTCCACCTACTCCTCCCGGCGTGCTTTTCCTTCTTCCTCCGCGTCCGCGTCCGCGTCCGCGTCCTCCTCCTTGCGCCACGAGTCCGCGAACCTGCACATAGCCTATCTGCCCTCTCGGAAACGCGCTAATAGAAAGACATTTGACTACTTCTCGGACAGGTACGGGAAAACACTTGATATTTTTCTATCAAGCGAAAAACTGCTATAGTTCTTTTCAGAGAAGATGTGACGGACGTTGAATTATTCTTAAATATGAAAAGATGAAATAGTTTATCATAAAATGCAAGTAAAGAGACCACGATTCGTAATAGCATTTTGTATTATTAAACTATTTCAATATAGATAGTAAGATGATAGTAAGATGATTTCAGATATTCAAACTTTAAAAATTACAAGAAATTGATATCTGTATTTAAAATTGAAATAAAATAAATTGAATATTAATAACGAGTCGCACGAAATTTGGAGTAACATAAAATAAATTAACGATGTATTAAAAAGCAGCTATAAAATTATAATATACAGATTTAAATACATCATAAATACAGCTTCAATTTCATTTTGTCTCGTAAAATTTATAAGTCTTATAAAAATTATACAGATTTAAATACATCATAAATACAGCTTCAATTTCATTTTGTCTCGTAAAATTTGTAAGTCTTATAAAAATTAACGAGAAAACAAAGTTTTCATTTTAACAACCATTAAATGTATGGTGTTGATCGATTTGACTCTCAAGTTAAAGAGAGTGCACATTTTATTCAAGAATTCAATCTATTAAACCTGCGTCCGCAGACACAATAACACGCTTTCTCCGAGCAGTCGCAACGTGACATCGATCGCACGCATTTTGTAATCCAATTGCGGACCACAAAATACATAAATTGCCGGCCATGGCACGTGATAAGCTAGACCGGAACAATAATGTTCCGCGATCGTTGCCGATTCCCGTGTCACGCATCATCCTGACAGGTGGCGCATATACACACGCTCGTTCGACGACACGTTCCTCTCTTATCTGAAGAGTCTGGCTCTTCGTGAACGCTATCTGATCGCGAGACATGAGCGATATCACCGTGGCTAGAAACAACAGCGGTTAAAGCGAACGCCGGTATCGATTGTATAGCAACATTACGATCGGAAGAAGATCAATGATCTCACGGGGGCCGCGACGAAAGCGATTTTTCATGCACTCCAGCATACATCGTAAACTTGATATCAGCAAGCCGGATATGCCAAAAAAGAGTTCGTCGATGATCGAAACGTTTGGGCGACACGCAACACATTACGACCGTTGGCAATATTTCCTGTTATCAGCAACGATACGTCGAACATGGATCGTTTCTGACTGTTATGGTTGTGTAGACTTTTATTTTTTGAAGATTTACCAAGAGATACCAAAAAATATTGACAAACTCTCTGGATGAGATTTGATATTTATCTTTGTAGGAAATGACAATGTGTAATATAACATTTGGGTAACAGATAGATAATCTGACTCCGTTTCGTTTTCCTACGAAATCCGCATTTTTTATTCAAAACCTTTTCCAGCCGGCGGATAGCACGAGCCGTCGCTTGCATCGCGTAATGTCAAAATTCATTTTAACACATAATTACAATTGTGCACATTATTCTTTATTAATCTAGAAAAAAGACAAATAATATTAGAAAGACGACAAATAACGTCATTTTTATATATTTTTTTACTTAACTTGTACCTGCGAATTTTTTTCGTTTAAAATAAAACTTTAATATAGTTATAGTATTATGTAATTATATAATTGTGACAATTGCATTTTACAGTTTAGGTAAACTATAGAAAATATTATAACGATATATATAATAAATTCTAATTATTACAGTTAAAATAAATCAATACAATTCTATTATTATAGGAATTGTTAGAAATATATTCATATTAATAATTATTTATAATACAGCAACAGTTTCTTATTTAGTTTCGATCACTATTTCATTATTATCATTTTATAATATTTAACCTTATATTCAGCAAACAGAAAATTTTGATTTTCATTATGATTGATTCTCATTTTACTTTGACAGTATTTTCATATTAAATAAATAAAATTCAGAATTTATACGGTTATTATTTATGGCTTGCTGGATGTGCAACGCTGAATATTCTCCTGCCCTCCTCTTCCGCATCCACCGTAAATAGTTTCCCCGCCACTTGTCTATTACCGAGTAATGAATACCCTAGTACTCTGTCTTGTTTTAATAACGTATTACACACCTTTTCACGAAAAAAAATCCCATTCGCGTTAAGAACTCATTTCACGCATGCAGCCCCAGAACGCTATGTGGATGCTACCGCGCGTCGCCGGACTTCTTACACGCGAGACTCGCAGCGTGTACCAAAGCTCTCTCGCCTCCATCCTCCATCCACAGCTGACTCGTCCTCGCCCTCCGCCATCCTGCCCTTCCTTCTCATCCCGTCCGTTCCCGTACGTTCTATCATATCCTGTCTCTCTCTCTCTTCTCCCGTCTGAGTCACGCGAATTCGGACGCCGTGGCTCGTTTACTTCTTCACCGGAATCGAGATCTGACAACTTTTACTTTCGTATCCCGTCTCCCCCAGCACGTATGCACGTATGCACATCGATGCCCCTTAATTATGAAACTTAACGCCGCGTAACCGACGCGTCACTTTTTAATATGGATGCGTGCGATGAATGCGTGCGACTAACTCCGAATAACGCGCGCGATGAGAGTCTTTCTTCTTGCAAACGTGAGCATAAATTCAGACGGAAGCAGGGTAAAAAAAATGTATAAAACGTATTAAAAGCCATTTAAGATTTTTATCGCAAAAGCTATTTGTGTAATTCATTTCTAACAGAGAATCAGCAAAAATCTAACTAAAATTTTATGTTTCACTTAAAGACTTGCTATTTCAGAAACCTAATTTTCCTTAATCGCAAAGAAAATAATCCTTTGACCATAATACAACCCATCGTTCCCATAATTACAGGTCTTCATACATGAAAACTCTCTTTTCATT